CAGAGGATCAAGGCGCCACGGCGAGGCTTTTTTTTCGGTGGACTCGAGAGGAAAAAATCGACAGGGGATTCTGAGTCACGGGGTGCCGATCGCGCATTTTTATCGTCGGCTCGCGTAGCCTCGGCAATCCGATACTTTTCGAGAAACGACGCGCGAACGAATCCACCCAATAAGGGATGATCTCTCTATTCTCCGCCGCAGTATATATAAAACTAAAAAAGATAGATGTAATACTAAACGTCACGACAACGGCGTTACGACACGGCGCGTCACGTTGCAAAATAATCAAAAGTCGCGAACGGAACGTTCACGGTTGATCGTAAACGGTTTGGTTTATGATCGCTCGCCGTCACTCTTAAACAATATTTATATACGGCGCTTTTATGAACTATCAGAGATTTGTTGTTGCCCGACGGCGAGCCCGCTACTTTTATTGTAATAATCCTTGTGAACAGAACGATTAATCATTTCTTTACGCTTTGTAAATGAAGCAGAACGAGAAGTGAGACATGCGCGACGTTTATGTTTCTTCGTGTTTCATTCTTTATAACCGATGTGTGACCTACTTGCGAAACATGTAACATAGAAATGTTAGATAATCATTTTTAAATAAATAATTTTTTGTCACAAAAATTTGTAACAGGGTTTACTTTATTGCGAACTATATGAAAATTGTAAATGATATCCGAACAAGGAGAACGATTTTTATTCAGTAAAACCAATTGGGATTATGAATATTTAACTTTAAAATTCTACACTTTTAATAAATTATTTATAATTTTGATATGTTATAATTAATGTTTCTGCTCAAATATGGAAAACTGAAGAATAATCGTTTCTCGTTTTTGAAAATCCTAATAAAAGCGACATATCTGCAGTGACATATTCTTGATTGTCGCTTCGATTGAAGTCGATAATCATTTGTTATTATAAATTGCTAAAAGCGATTATTCAAACATGCATTTCGCTATGAAAAATAAATCGTCGCCGAGTATTTTCACGACTTCGTACGCGGTAGAAACGACGGTGACGGCGACTGCGATGGCGTCAGCGACGGCGACATCAACGATTTAACACGGAGGATAAAGCTGAAGAGAGATGAATTTAACGAAGCGTACACCCGCGTCGGAAGTTCTCCGTTCTTCTCCTGGTATCGAAAAATCCCAGGAGCTGCGCGAAGCAAAACCGTTCCTCCGGAATTCGCGTCGGACTACGTCGATCCCATTTCGTTTCTCCGCGTAAATCGACGATACAGGCCGCTCCATAAATATTCGTAAAAGAAGAACAACGAGGGAAAGAAGAGAAAGTGGGAGGAAGGGGCGGAGAGATGTCATCGAGAAGATCGGCGACTGTGGTGGTCCGAACTGGAAAATCATATAACAGGAGGGACGGAGAGAGCGGAAGGAAGCAGCTCGATGAAGCTCGAAGAAGCTCGAGGAAACAGACGGAGGAAGATAGAGGGGAGATGGAGAGAAAGAGTATACGGGCGTAACGTAGAAAAGTTGCACCCGGCACACTGCATCGAGAATTCAGGAGAAGGAGAGGCTGCGCCAAAAGAGAGACGAAGGAGTAGAAGGGTGATGGAGAGAGGAGAGCGGTCGGATGGGCAGCGAGGAGGGTGCGGAAGGACGAAGGGGGAAGGGTGGCGAAGGGGAGACAGGGAGGGGGGCGCGCGCGGCGCGTTTCTGGAGTCGTCGGGACGCCGAAAATAGCGTCCCGATATGATGACGCCCGGAGCGGACCGATCCTAGATTTCAGTCAGTTCGCAAGCTCGAAAGCCGCTGAGCAGTAGTAGCCCCGGATCCAGTAGTCTCGCTACTCCGATTTCTTTTTCCAAACTGACGAAAAACTCGCGGCCTCTCTCTCTCTCTCTCTCTCTCTCTTTCTCCCTCTCTCTCATTCTCCTCTCTTCTCGTGTCCTTCTCACCCTTTCGAGAGAGTCGCCCGAATACGACAGTCCGCAGTTGATTCTGTCGCCTAGGAGAGAGCGCATCGCGACGACAGAAGACGAAAGAGGATAGAACGCAGAGATGGCGGACGTAGACAGTGTAGTGTACACGACCACCGAGCGCAAGGTGCGCAAAGTGAAGAAGACGACCAAGCGTCGGGAGAGCCACGATCAGAACGCGTCGGAGGTCACGATCACCGAGGTCGACAGCACGCAGAACCACCACGCCGCCATCGAAGAGTATGTGCTGGCTGACGATACGATACGCGGCAGACCCGCACAGCCTCTATATCACTTCTTCTTCTTTCTTGCTCGTCTTAGCGGCGCTCTGTCATCGTCGTGATTACTTGTCATGCTCGCGATTCGCATCACACACGGGAGCGAGATTCTGCAAGCGTCACTCCGGAAACTTTGAGCGCGCGCGCGCGCGCGCCCGACCGGAAATACCGTGACCGGTGGATAGTAGCGCAGGCAATGCGGACATTTAAGGATTCATTGCGCCAAGTTTAATGCTCAAGTGAATTTTTTTTTCTCTCTCTATCAAAATCATAAGATTGAAATTTAAAAAGTAGTGAACTAAGATTACTTAACGAAAATTATTGATACAATCGGCCCAAGATAAAATGCTTCGAAAAAAATGCTCTGACATTTCCAATGTTATTCTTGTTTAAAATTTAACGTATTATTTAGAAGGTACTCGATGTAATTTTGATAGTTTCTATGTTCGACTTAAGAAAAATCTCTCGCAGAAAAATATGTCTCGTTGTATTTCCATCAATGCGAAAATCCAAGTTATTTCGGTTAATATTATTGTGGAATTTTTCTTCTGATAATTTATATAAATTAACGTAAACGATGTAAAAATTGAAATAAGCAGTGTGTCTTTGCGGATTCATTCTCGTACCTGGAAGAGGAAGGCGGCACGTTTAAACTCAAACAGCCCTTTTTCGCTCTGTTCGCTCGAAGTCGGGCGATTCGGCCGAAAATATTCGCGAGTGAAGAAAGATTAACTTCGAGCATCGCGTTTCCATCTCGTCACGCGAAGACCGCGTATCTAAAACGATATCGCTCCTCGTGAATGATCCTTTCCGGATATCCCCTGACATTTCGTGACTGCGGACTACAATCCCACGACAGACGTACCTTGCCTTTCGAGGGCCAGAGTGACGCTTCAGGAACTCGAACCTTTCCAAAATTACTCGAGAAGAAGAGGGACGACTCTTCTTTCACAAGACCGCACAATTGTCTTATCAGTCTTTAAAGAGCCACCAGTTACAACGCCTTTCTTCCATTATAAAAACAGTGCATTTTACTTTACTTCGTCAAGTTAATTGAAATGTTGAAAATAAGAAGAAAACCTTTTAAACCTGTTTTAAAAACAGTATTTACTACATTTACTTCTACAATACATATAAATCAGATGCGTATTATCTGTAATTTTAGAAGTTATTGTTTTAGATCTTATCAGTATGTATCTTTTTTATTAACAAGAGCTTCATACATAAATCTCAGGAATAAAATGAACGAAGCAAAAATCAGTAAATATCACTCAAAAGATTACATAAAAATAAGCAGAATGAGAAATTTCGAAAAATTTTACAATATTTTTTGCGATTTATGTATCTCTTAGATATGCAGTTTGTTTTTATAGAAAGGAAAATATAAAGTACAGTGTTTTTTAAGTATTTACGTATTATTAAAATGTTCTAACTTTTCTGCAGTTAAATGGCTCTTTAAAGACTGATAAAATATATAGAATGAAAGTTCTTAAGAAAGCAAAAAAGAACACTCGCTCGATTTACGCGATGGAAACGCTCAAGACAAGATTTGTACAGTCATACGCATGTCACGATAGATATGACTTTGTACAGAAATACTCAGCCAGCACATACAACAGCACTCATCCAAGGTACATATTACCAGCATGTATCAACGATTCTGCTCGCCATAATCGCGTATGGTACATGATCAAGAGAGATGATCGAAGAATTCTCGATAAGAAGAAAATAATATCTTGAAAAAAGCGTGCGATTTTCTTAACTGTCTACAGAATTGTTAAACCTTTTACATGATCCTTCATAAAACTGCGAAAAAAATTTAACTATCATAGATGATTTTGCTCTTGGTGTAATTAACTTTTCAAAAATTTAAAAGTGGATAGAAACCTCTGAAATATCAAAAATTTAATGATATAAATTTAAAGATATAAATGAGGAAAATAACTCATCAAATTTCACCGATAAGCTAACTTACAGCACACTTGCATCTTTTAAATTACATATATATGAATATTGTAAAAATAAACTCATCATTAATTCCAGAATATAGATTTAATAAAACAGAATTTAAATTATATGTTTTTAATAATCACTACATAATAAATATAAAATTATTGATGCACAAATTATGTCACAAATTACATTATATTACAAATTATGTCACAATTTAACAACAAAATTAAAGTACCACTACGCAAACATTGAACAATATTCTATTAAAATGCTGCACTGCTGAACTAAAATGGGTCACATGAAAATAAACAAATCAACGCAAACTATGTCATTGAAATATTCCATTCGTTACAAATTTTATTTTTTCCATTTACCTATTCATATGTAATATAATCATAAAATAAAAATTATAAGGAGCTAAAAATTTTTATGATATTTTTATGAATATCCAAAAGTTTCAAAAATTTAGAAATGTTATTATCATCATTTTATTAATTTATTTATATAACATATATTTATTTAATGTTTATTTAATTAATCCGCTTTCAGTTTTATGAATGTATTTTATATTTATATTTTGAAATGATCCGATAAAGAAAATTTTATTAAAGGAAGACCATTTTGTTATTTTATTATATAAAATGTAAATTTTTGTATACAGCTCTTTATAATTTCCCAATTAAGAAACATTGTGCAAAGTTGTTTGATTTAGAATTAGTTTAGATATAGAATCATACGATTAACTGAAAAACTAGCAAAAGCCAAGATTATTTCTTGTAAGTGTGTCACGAATTCTAAACTGGTTGGTATTCGGATTGCAGTTGATTTTCAGTGGCGAGTACACAAAGGCGATGAACAAGGATTGGCATAGCGGCCACTTCTGTTGCTGGCAATGCGACGAATCCTTAACAGGACAGCGCTACGTTCTCAGAGACGAGCATCCTTACTGCATTAAGTGCTACGAAAGCGTTTTCGCCAATGGCTGCGAGGAATGCAACAAAATCATCGGCATCGACTCTAAGGTATTTTTCGCAAATAAAAAAAATATATGTGCAATTTGTTCAGACACACACACACACACATATCTCCATTCATTAAAAGATTAAAACTCTTTTATCATCTGTAAATCTAGATAATCTCTCTATATCTTTTCTGATGGATTAATTTTAAAGATGAAAACCGTCATTTGGTATTAAATAATCTAAATCATAATAACTGATGACTTTAAAGTCATTGTCTATTATATGTGTAAAGATTATGTTAATAGAACCGCTCATAAAATCGTTCTTCTTAACTTGAATTTACACATTTTGATTCATACAACTCAAACGATAAATTACATCGCTGATCGCGTCGTATAGACTAAAGGCATAATTAACGACCGACAAATGATTACGAGACCAGGTGTCAATAGATGGAAAGGCATGGGCGTTGACTTACTCATTTCTAGAAATAGAAGCGATGATGCAGGTGCCGGCTATCCAAGTATCGGCTCGGAGCACTCGAAGCGATTTCCGTTCTCTCTCTCTCTC